ACATTCCTGGATAAAGGTATGTTGGATATTATTAATAATTGATCTATACAGTGAGATACATGTAAATTATTAATTTATTTCTATTAACAGTTAGCTGTACCTCACTCTGTTAGTAAGAGATTGGGTCATTCTCTCTCAGTGTTAATTATGAGTCCTCATTGTGTCTGGATAATAACTACTGGAGGTTATGATGAGAGAGATACATTAGTCACTAATCCTAACATTGTTATGATAACTGAACTAGGTCAGTGTAATAGCCACACCCACCAATGAATACTATTAATTAGAAGAATGTAGAACATTAAGGAGCGAGCCTGATGGAACAATTAATAGTCATGTCGAATTTCAAAAATCAGTTTAAACAATTATTTTAGGGAACAATAAATGATGCATCAGTGACTAAAGTGATCAAAAATTAATTTAAACAATTCTTAAACAATTAATAAATTAATGATACTTGTGACATTGTTTGTTGTGTAGTAGTGCCAAGTGAACTTGTTAAAATTCAGCAGCTAGCGAGTACATTTCTTGCCTAAAGATGTCTGTAAAGCTTCTTTACTCAGCTTTAGATGTATTATTATCTAATATTAAGATTCAGAAGAAGCTTGCTTGAGTTTCACAGTTTCTATAGCAATAAAGACGAGCTTCAGAGCTTTTTAATTGAATCTATAACCTTTCTATAGCTGCTGAAAAAGTCTTTGGATGGTGTGTCTGAAAATCATAACTTCTTCCAGTGTGGTCGACTCTTGGTTGCCATTTTATTTTACTGTGACCACTCCCACTTTCAATGAAATATTGAAAATTGACTTTATATTGCATTGGTAATGATTATGTGCATGTGCATAAATAGGGGTGGCGTACTGGACAGACAGATGGGGCATGACTGAGAGTACTGCTAGAGTGGGGCTCACTCAGGCTTACCCCAGTCAGGGTTGGGGTCAATTACAAATTCATGATTACGATTACGATTATGCCCCTGTATTAGATATTATTATGATATATAGAAAAAATTTTGCTCAATATTAGTGTTGCATCTTATAAATATGAGTTTTTCAAATATAATATTTGATAGGCAACATCTTTCAAGCCGAAAAATTTTTCCACCAATATAGAAATTTCTCAACAGATCCACTAGATGCAGGTGTTATTGCTATCAATATGCAGTTACATGTAAATGATCATTTTGAATGTCATAATTATGGGTATGATTATAATTATGATAAGTATCGAATTTTACAAAAATATGAT